GAGCCGCCACTGTCATGCTGACTGGTGTGACTCCAATCGGCTGTCATTTAATATTCAAAAGACATCCATCATGAATTTTAAATGTAATCTTGGTAATGTTTTTCTGGATGATACTATTATAGGCAGAAGCATGGAGACCAAATATCTTGGCTTGATTGTTGATGATCAGCTCAGGTTTGACAAACACACTGAGCATTTATGTAAAAAAATATCATCAGCAGGCTTTGCTGTTAGAACTGTCAAGGCTGAGCTGGGCGAATCGGTTGCTAGACGGGTGTATTTTTCTTTGATCGAGTCACATCTTAGTTATGGAATTTGCTTCTGGGGTTCTTGCTCATTAACATTGTTCAACATCATATTTGTTCTCCAGAAGCGTGCTATAAGGTCGTTATGTGGTCTTAGTCCACGGAACTCTTGCAGACCATTCTTTATAGACAGACGTATTTTAACCTTGCCTTGTATCTTGGTTTTAGAATCGGTGTGTCTCATGCAGAAGAAGTACTCCTCTAATATTCATGCTCCCTCCTTGCTCAATACCAGAAGTTCACATGTAATTGATCTACCAATTCCCACATCCTCGCTAACTCAAAAATCAATTCACTTTAGGAGTAAGAAAATGTTTAATCACTTACCTCATAGCATAAGAACAGTAAAGGAGAGTAGATGTTTCAAGAGACAAGTCAAAAAATTACTTTTGGCTAAGGGTTTTTACTCTGTAGAGGAATACTTCTCATCTCCTCTGTTTAATGGTCAATAATTTTAAGTTTTAATTTTAAGTTTGTTTTTAATTTTAATGTTGAGCAGTCTTTCGATCTATTTTATCCAGTTGTTTTTATTCCTGTTTATTATCTTTATTTTTACGTACCTACTTTGTTGATGATTTTAATCTTAATTATATTATATTTGGAAGCTTTGTTATCAAGATTTGTATCTTTAAACAATAAAGCATATTTTGATTTGATTTGACTATGGATTGTGAAAGATCGTTCCGTTTGATTGCCGCTAACGACGCTAACCATGCTATTCATCTTTTTCCTGATAGTTCATTTAAATACGGAAAACCTCGCGGAAAACATACTGAACTGGCAACGCTTGGAACCCTGCAGGTTTGAGACAAATTGTCCCTCACTTGGAGGCTTCGACATTTCCACAACACTAAAACGACTAAAACTAAACACAAAAAGCTCTATACACTGCCTGAACGCCTTGTTGACCTTCTTGGTTTTTTCACCTAGGTGTTTCCAGTTGAGAGCACTATCCAGAATAGTTCCCAAGTATTTGACCTGTTTTGAAAGGCCCAGTTGCTTGGCACACAGAGAGGGTGGTCTCAAATTGACCAGCTTCCTCTTTCTGGTGAAGAGCACTTGTTCGGTTTTTGCTGCTTTTAAAGTCAGTGGGGCCACCATATTTATATTAATTTTAAAACGGTCTGCCATGTTCGTTGAGGATTTTTATGAGGGTGTTGACTACCAGAGTCCAAAGTATTGGCGTCAAGATGCCCCCTTGGGGAGCAGCCTCTACTGACAAACACTCTCACCTTCACGCCTTATGTATTCAGTTGAACAGCTGTGTTCGTTATTATGCATCAGATCCAGCTGATAATCTATAATGGTTAGATGCTTTGTCGAAATGGAGGGCTCTTAGCGCCGACTGCCGGTATAGAATAGCGATTCTTCTATTCTCTGCACGACATAGTGCAGTCTCCGTAGATCGAGCCGTAGATTTTCCTGGTTGGTAGGCGTGTTCATTAGAGTGTATAGCTCGCATTGGGAAGTGCATATCCCTAATGTGTCTGCCACATAGCGTTTCGAGGGTTTTCATGAGGAATGAAGTTAGACTAATTGGTCCGTATAATTTTGGATGAGAGTATCCTTCCCAGGTTTAGGAATAAAGGTGACTTTAACCTCTCTGCACTTTATGGGTATATAGTTTAGGGCAAGACAGGCCTTGAATAATACTTCAAGGCAGTGGCGGCTGGTTAGAGTACAAGTTGGCGGTGCACACCCCAAGGGGGAGGGGAGGGGAAGCCGGAAGCATGCCTTGAGTAATTTTTCAGTATTTTTAATTCAAACGTGCGCATTCTCCATTTTTACAAATTAATAAATAATTCTTCGAATTGAATTCTGTCCTCCAGCGAATGAATAGAGAAAGGTTTTATCAATAAATTGCTAATTTTATTCATTTTATCTAATGTCTATTTATTGGTAAAAAACACTGATTTGAATTTAAATTTACAATCTACCGATGCATTTACGCACCGCACAACGTCCGCCAACCCACTCAAATTATAGAAATTATGCTCAAATTGCCCCAAAAAATTATCCGAGCCGCTCGATCAGGTGGCCCCGTTTCCACGTATGAAAACAAGTGACCTCGAGTAACCTTTTCCAACGTATTGCCATGTTGCAGCGGGGCCTTTGTGAAATGTGCTCGGACGGATAGCCCAGCGAATTTAGTTTAGTCAGTCGCATGAATTATTTTCTAGGAAATCTAGGAATAATAACGACAGGAATTTTTTTGTCGGGATCAAATTATAAAATGATAAGTAATATGATTTGACGATTGTGATGATTATTTTTGCGCCAGTGCCACGGCCCCTTGGCCCCAGCCGCCACTGCTTCAAGGTTTGAAATAATTTGCCCCCAGACCCCACTGAAGCATTGCAGGAATGATGCCATCAACTTCTGCGGACTTGTTTGGTGGTACACATTGCCCAAGTGATTTTGTCATTCAAAACAACCGCGTTTATGACTTTCCCGTTTTCCGGGGATTTTTTGATCCTAGAGGCGGTTGATGTGGTGGAGACCCCGTTTGTAAAAGTTCTTCCAAGCGGCCCTTCTCTTTCCTCTGAGCTTCTTTTCAGAAGTTCTCAGACGTTCACACAATATTTTGAAACCCTACCCCACAAAAATATTGAAATGTAACTAAAATTTCGGACACTTTCGGATTTTCTCCTCGTTACAGTGTTCGCACCTATGACCTTCCCTACAACAACAGGTTAATACTGTTATAAGTTATAGCATCAAAACACCAATGTAACCAGTGCTATATTTCCGAGTCCACTGGAATAGCTATAAGTGTGTAAAGTGAAGCTTTTTCCGTATAATCACTTGAGGGGAAAAGGAGCTTTACACACATACAATTTTTTTTCCACTACTGGCAATATACAGTGCGCTTAAAGCAGGGATCGACCGATACGGTTTTTTTTTCAAAAAACCGATATTGCCGATACCGATACGATATGGCTTTATAGAAGGCCGATACCGATATAAGGCCGATACGGATTCTAGCACCTTTTCCTTTAGATTTTGAATGTTTTATTTATTTGTTTTCTTCTAGTTTTAATATTTTTTGTTCGAGTTCAGATAAGCAGAAAGTTTAGTTTTTTTTTTTAAAGAAATAAATAATTTTGAATTTGAGTTTAGATACGCAGAATGTTAAGTTTTTTTTTTATATAAATACCTAATTAATTTAAAATAAATTTATGAAAAACAATTTCTAATATTTACTTTCTTCTTATGGCCATTTTTACCAACTATTTTAGGAAAGCCCTAACAATAGGTATGTCCTAAACTGACATTTCTCCATGTAAAGATGTCATTTTAGGGAATACTTATCGTTAGGGCTCTCCTAAAATAGTTGGTGGAAACGGCCATTAGTCACTCCCATATGTACGAACCACAATTATTAGCTCTTTTAAGCTTTAAAAAAACCTTAGTGATGATTACTGATCTTTTAAAATATGATTTGTATCGGTCTAAAGTTATCGGCCAATGAAGGGCCGATATACCGATACACCGATATACCTGAAAAAGGCCGATACACCGATATACCGATATGCCATATCGGTATCGGTCGATCCCTGGCTTAAAGACTGACCACCCTTCTAAAATTTTTATTTTTTACTGATTAAATTATTATTTTTTTCTTATATCTACTTGAATTTGGCACTTATTAGTTTAGGCTCATAATTTATTTCTGCGGCTGTGTAGGGTGGGCCAATTTGGACACTTTTAATAGTCAATTTCTGAAAGAGATACAAAAAAATTAACCGACAAAAACCGACATAATTTTTTTTCTCGAAAACTATTAGAGATAAACCTATCGAACTTTATATCATTGAAATCAGAAAAGGCAGAGCTTTCTAATGAGCTATTAATATATTGAGTGTCCTATTGAAAAAAAACAGACTTTGGTCAATATCTCGAAGTTGGGACCAACTAGAAAAAAACTGAGAACGTCACTGAATTCTGCTTAGAAAAGTGCTTCCAGAAAGTTTTTACAGAAATCAATATTTTCCATAAACAAAAAAGTTATGGAGGTTTCAGATTATTGCTCAAAATCGAGAAGCGCCCTCTAGCGGCTAAACGGTTGAAGATATCAAAATGCGGTTTGCACCAATCAAAATTTCATGAAATTTGAGCCTCAGAGTGGGGGGTTCATTTTTTGTTATCTCGCTCAGAAATTGAAGTTTCCTATTAAAAAAGTGTTAAAATTGGCCCACCCTGTACAGGGTGTCCACATTTATTGGCTTAAATTTCAATAAGTACTATTAGGGATTTTTTTAGAAAAAATCTGATAGCAAATTTTTGTTTAGAATGATCTAAACCCGAATGTACTAATTTTTGTTTCAATACGATACAGGGTGATCACAACAAATTTTCAAAATTTAATGGACCAAACCGCAAAAATGTCATATTTTGAGGCCTTGAGAACAACAAAACTTGATGCAACATAGTTTAAGAACATCCTTAACCAAAACTTGTAGTAAGCTTGTCTCAAAATATGACATTTTTGCGGTTTGATTCATTAAATTTTGAAAATTAATTTTAAATGAATCTCAGAAACTGCACGCTTTTGATACGACACTAATCAATCCGAAATCCCTAGAATTTACTTCACCTAAATTTTTGCTATTGAATGCACATAATGGGATTCAATTCCACTGTGCACGACAGTGGCGTCGGCTTCCGAAAATGTAATTTTGTAACAATTTTATTGTTTTTGACTATGAAGTTTCATAATCTAAATCAAATTAAGTAGGCTATAGTAAATACAAACCAAACCGCTTGAATCGTAGTAAACAAACATTAATGAGGAATTTTCCATTCTTTTGTTTATTGCTTCGTACTTTTCAAAATCATAATAACCTTGATATCTGGCCTATATTTCCTAGAAAGCAATCATTTCTTTGGAAAATTGTTAGGCATTCTCTTTCGGGATTTTTCCACACAAACAAGTAATTATTCTTTATCTAGTTTAAGGCATGGAAGATTATAAACCTTCACACTTAATGTGGGTACTTATGCCTTGATGTTTTGATATTGAATGCGGACAATGAGATCGAATTTCTGGATATTCCTCACGGGTCGTGCACAGTGGCGTCGGCTTTTCTGAAAATGTAACGATATTGTTGTTTTTAACTATGGAATTTCATAATTTAAATCAAATTAAGTAGGCTATAGTAAATACATACCAAACCGCTTGAATCGTAGTAAACAAATATTAATGAGGAATTTTTCTTGCTTTTGTTTATTGCTTCATACTTTCCAAGAGTCATGTAGCAATCCATTCTAAAATCATAATAATGGAAAATTGTCAGGCATTCTCTTTCGGGATTTCTCTACAAGACAATCAATTATTCTTTATCTAGGTTAAGGCATGGAAGATTATAAATCTTCACTTTTAATTTGGGAGTACTTATTCGTTAATACCCAGTGTTATTTTTTTATTTTTATATTAATAATATTTATTTATTAAACACTGTACAGGGTGGGCCAATTTGGACACTTTCTTATGGAAACACCCTTTATTTTTAGAGATAGAAAAAAATTAACCCCCCACTCTGAGGCTCAAATTTCATGAAATTTTGATTGGTGCAAACCGCATTTTGATATCTTCAACCGTTTAGCCGCTAGAGGGCGATTCTCGATTTTGAGCAATAATGTGAAACCATCATAACTTTTTTGTTTATGGAAATTATTGATTTCCGTAAAAACTTTCTTGAAGCACTTTTTCAAGCAGAATTCAGTGACGTTATCAGTTTTTTTCTAGTTGGTCCCAACGTCGAGATATTGACCAAAGTCTGGTTTTTTTCAATCTATATTAATAGCTCATTAGAAAGCTCTGCTTTTTCCGATTTCAATGATATAAAGTTCGATAGGTTTATCTCTAACAGTTTTCGAGAAAAAAAATATTTCGGTTTTTGTCATAAGAAACAATGTGTTGGAAAGAGACCTTTCTCAGTTTCCTTACAGATATAAAGTCCTTTTCTTACACATTGCTTCTTATGAAAAAAACCGAAATATTTTTTTTTCTCTAAAACTGTTAGAGATAAACCTATCGAACTTTATATCATCGAAATCAGAAAAAGCAGCGCTTTCTAATGAGCTATTAATATAGGTATAGGTTGTCCTATTGAAAAAAACCAGACTTTGGTCAATATCTCAGCGTTGGGACCAACTAGAAAAAAACTGAGAGCCTCGCTGAATTCTGCTTGAAAAAGTGCTTCAAGAAAGTTTTTACGGAAATCAATAATTTTCATAAACAAAAAAGTTATGATGGTTTCACATTATTGCTCAAAATCGAGAATCGCCCTCTAGCGGCTAAACGGTTGAAGATATCAAAATGCGGTTTGCACCAATCAAAATTTCATGAAATTTGAGCCTCAGAGTGGGGGGTTCATTTTTTTCTATCTCTAAAAATAAAGGGTGTTTCCATAAGAAAGTGTCCAAATTGGCCCACCCTGTACAGGGTGGGCCAATTTGGACACTTTTAATAGGAAAAATCAATTTCTGAGCGAGATACAAAAAAATGAACCCCCCCACTCCAAGGCTCAAATTTCATGAAATCTTGATTGGTACAAACCGCATTTTGATATCTTCAACCGTTTAGCCGCTAGAGGGCGATTCTCGATTTTGAGTAATATTGTGAAACCTTCATAACTTTTTTGTTTATGGAAATAATTGATTTCCGTAAAAACTCTCTAGGAGAACCTTTTGAAGCAGAATTCAGTGGCATTCTCAATTTTTTTCTAGTTGGCCCCAATTTCGAAACATTGACCAAAGTCCGGTTTTTTCAATGTGACACCCTATACAGGGTGGAATTTTTAAATGGAATAAATTCATTATCAGAAAGCCTGTTTATTTCCTGGAAAAATAAAAAAAAACGGGTCTGTTTATTTTTAGTTTGGCACATTTTTTTGGCCTTTTCATGGAATTTACCCCTCTCTTAAGGGTAGAAACCACCCCCAACTTTTTTTTTTCAAACGTTAACATATGCATTGTGATAGCTCGTTGGAATGGCCATAAAAAAAGGAAAATGACCAATTATTTATTTTTGCATTTCGATTATCTAGAAAGTGCGAAAAAAAAAATAAAAACATATTGTTCCACACAATTTTTTCACAGTTAAAATTGTTGAATATCTTCAGCATTTCTTCTTGGTAGAACCCTAATGCGGAACAAGCCCCATTTGTAACGTTATGTAATTATTTCTGGCGTTTATACACTATTTGATGCCTGATACTCGGATTCTCAACCCTGAAATAGTGTGTTAATTTCAAAAATAGTTACATAACTAGATCACCGATGCAAAAGTAAATAATGGGCCATAATCCTTTTTTTATGCCCATTCCAACGAGCTATCACGACGAAAAAATGTGCCAAACTAAAAATAAACAGACCCGTTTTTTTTACTTTTCCAGGAAATAAACAGGCTTTCTGATAATGAATTTATTCCATTTAAAAATTCCACCCTGTATATTGATAGCTTATTGGGAAGCTCTGCTTTTAGTGATTTCAATGATATAAAGTTCGATAGGTTTATCTCGAACAATTTTTGAGGAAAAAAATTATTTTGGTTTTTGTCATAAGAAACAATGTGTTAGAAAGAGATCTTTTGCATTTTCCTTACAGATATAAAGTCCTTTTCTAACACATTGCTTCTTATGAGAAAAACCGAAATAATTTTTGTTTCTTGAAAACGATTAGAGATAAACCTATTGAACTTTATATCATTAAAATCAGAAAAATCATAGCTTTTCAATGAGCTATTTATATACTCCTGGACAAAATTATCGCACCACTGCTTATGGTGATGCTTATGTGCAGTGGTGCGATAATTTTGTCCAGGAGTATATAAAGGGTGTCCTATTGTAAAAACTCAGACTTGGTCAATATCTCAAAATCGGCGCCAGATAGAAAAAAACTGAGAACGTCACTGAATTCTGCTTAAAAAAAGGGCTTCCAGAAAGTTTTTACGAAAATCAATTATTTTCATAAACAAAAAAGTTATAAAGGTTTCACAATATTCCTCAAAATCGAGAATCGCCCTCTAGCGGCTAAACGGTTGAAGATATCAAAATGCGGTTTGCACCAATCAAAATTTCATGAAATTTGAGCCTCAGAGTTGGGGGTTCATTTTTTTGTATCTCGCCAGAAATTCACGTTTCGTATTAAAAGTGTCCAAATTGGCCCACCCTGTACATACAAATCATTATCAAGTCCTTTTTTTGAAACAAGCTGGAAACGCTGGGCGCTGGTCACTGGTTACCTTATGTTAGGCCATGTTTTTATTGGAGATAAAGACCTTAGTGCAGGCAGATTGTACTAAAAAGCTGATTTCGCCAAAATGCTTGGAGAAATATCTCAAAAAATCATTTGTTTTAACTGAAAAGAAAAAAAATTAGCAGCGAACATCTACATAGATAATAAACGAACTTACAAAAATAGAAGCACGTGATTGTATTTCATGAAACAAATTATAAAAAAATGATAAAAAAAGGTCAAAAGTTAAACTTTCCTCCGACTGTGACCAAATCCATTTGAATTTAGATCAGATAAATGTTCTGATAGATACAACTATGAAATAAAAATTCTACATGCTGAGGTTCATCCGCCAGCTGGTACATAAACTGTCTTATCTTAAATTAATTATAAAAGAAATAAATCCCAAATATTGGCATCTTAACAACTTTATAACCTCATTATTAATCTCACTAATGCTGCAGTTTAATTCAAAAATTGATATGTCTCTTAATCTACGTTCAAATTTGAAAATCTTGACCTAATTTTCGTGATTACATGCTTACTTAAGTTGATAGAGTGAATATCTCAGATCAAAAATTAGAAAAAATTAATAAGCACAAAAACATTTACAAACTATTCTTGGAATGCTCACAAATGGGTGCTTGTCCTTCAAACAGCATTGGACATTGATAAACAAGTAATTTCTATGAATATCTTACAAAACATTTTGACTAATTTAGGAAATAATAACAACGTTTTGACTAAATTTGGAATCCTCGTGACTTTTTTTGATTAATTTTGATGAATTTGAGTCCCTAATAACCTATATGCCTCGTTGTACCGTTGTAGTGATGAGTTTGAAGGATTTTTCGAAATTTTGATGCCTGGTATTTTGTATCAGGTTTCAACTGAATTTGGATTGTTTTTTGTGGTATCCTTATCATATTTTCTATTAATTGTTTTCTTTCTTCTGATGAAAATTGTATTGTTTGTTTCTCGTGGTAATGTTTCATTCATGGGATACATACAGTGAGGATGTAAAGTCCGTCGCCCCCCCTCTAACTTTTGAACCACTCGGTATATTGCAACGAAATTTGGAATGATCATATGTTAGCACATTCTCCATTTTTTGAAATCCAAATGACAGCTGGGCGGAGTTTTGAATCGTTTTTTTAAATAGAAGGCGGTGTCGAGTGATATATCGTTTTAAAGGTCTCTTAATTCTTAATTTAATCCCCGATTCTGAAAACATTTGGTTTAATGGTTTTCAAATGATGACGAAAAAACAAAGGCTTCTTTTGCTCATAAACACTCATAACAAAAAATTTCACTCATTATTGTTTTTTTTTCAGTAATAATAATGATGTAATGACATTGGTAACTTAAAAAAACAACAAAAGTACTCATAAAATAATGATTCAATTGCTAAAAAAAAAATGTATGACCAAAACAAGCCTTTTTTGTTTCGCCATAGTTTGAAAACCACTAAACCTATCTATCACTCGACACCGCCTTCTATTTAAAAAAATGTTTCAAAACTGCGCTCAGCTGTCATTTTGACAGCTGAAGCTGTCATTTGTTTTTCAGAAGATGGAGAATTTGGAGACATATAATCATTTCAAATTTTGTTGCAATATACCGAGCGGTTCAAAAGTTAGAGGGGGGGCGACGGACTTTATGTCCTCACTGTATATTAATGGGACCTCAAGTGTGTTTGTAATAATTAATAATTATTGTGCCTTTTATTGTTTTTTTCAATGATTTAATTCTCAGATGAGTAACAGTTTAAGTCAATGATAATAAACGGTGTGTTTTTTCTTTGACAATAAAGCACTCTCTATAAATAATTATTTATTTATTTATTTACGTATAACAAAAATACATTTGAAGTTGTACATAGTTTAAATCTAAAAAATCGAACCTAAAACAATTCTCCTGGCCTTCGTCTTAAATTTATCCAGAGATAAACCAAAGAACTCAAGGCTCTCACAGAACTTATTTACATTGGCAGATATTCTATTCACAGGACTGAATAGTAAGTACCAGGTTCGACAGTAAGGAATGTGCAGTAAAGATTTACTTCATGTCCGATAACTTTGAATGTGTAGATTAAAACATTTAAGACATTCGTGGCTTTTTATGTAGTAGTTAAGGATTTTAAATGCAAAACAGACATCAAAATATTCCCTTCTGCGAACAAGAGTAAATAAGTCTGAGTAAGTCATAGTCAGGTCATCACTGAGAATCACACCGCTCAAAGAAAGTTTGTACCTTGCAAACTTGATAAAGTTGTGTTAAACACTCTCAAGCCTATTGATGTGGATCTGATAGTAAGGTGACCAAACTATGCATGAAAATTCAAGAACGGACCTGACCAGCGATGTGTAAAGAATTTTGATAGGGCGTATATTTATTAATTAAAATATTGTTGACATATTTTTAATTTAACTCAGGTCTTGTTTGTAGATTATAGCCTCTTAATACACACCATCTCCATTAACACACACACACAAAAAAATCGTTGAATCAATGTTGTACACACGCTGACCCCTATAGTTTTTAATTCAAAAGATTAAGAGATCGTCCATTGCCCCTTTGTCGCTGTATTAAATCTAACCCCAATCAGCAAACAACGCAATTAACATTATCGTCAGTTTTCGTGGGAAATTGAAATAATCTTTTACGTCATAATGTACATAATTATATGTATTTAATAAAATGTTATCGTTTCAGAATATCAAGGCCGTACAAGCAGGGACAATGGTTATCGGCTTGCCAAAAGTTCAACTTTAACCCCAACGTTAAATTAAACAATTGCTTATCAACTCAAAACCATCATAATCAGAAGCAAGGATCATCTCGTAAGTAGGAAAATGGTGTCTGATAAACTTTGCATGTTGAAACTGAAAAAAAAAGATTTCCATGTTCTTGATCCTTGGATTTAAACAAATGTCTTGAACTTTGTTGAGAGAACTCTGCTTTTAACATGATGTATTGTATAGTACTATTTGTTTGAAGGTGGCAGATAATTTTTCCATTGAAAACCAGTGGCCGATTTACCCATACGCTAACTACGCTGCAGCGTAGGGCCCCGGGCAACCAGGGGCCCCGCAGGGGCCCTCGCTACATTTCAAGAATATACTCCAAATTCCAGATTCATGAAAAAAAAAGTTAAATTAATTAAAATCTTACCTTGAGTCATCGGAGGAACAACGAAGAGAACACTTCGCCCTCTACCACATTGCCTCTGAACCGCAGTAATAGACGAAACTAGATAGAAATTCTTGGTATTCTTTCAATCTGAACGAACTGATTGTGATCACATAAGGTTTGTCATGAGGCGTCAAAAAAACAGCTGGGGCCAATGAAATCGTTTCAAAACCGGATGAAAATTGTTTGAAACAAACCGCAAGTGACTTCGATCAGTCTGTTCAGTCAGATCTGAAGAATACACCTATTCCTACAGACCACGGCAAAATTGCCCGGAAGAAACCTTTTTATTTCTATCAACAGATTCTATAAAGGAATTTCGACACTTTGATTCGCTGGATATAAAATGATAAGTAAAGATACCTCTCAAACAAGGTACCACTCGACCCAGTTTCCCTAATCAACTTTTGAGGGTGCAACTCACCCCGGTAAGGGGCTGCAATTTTGAAATAGCCAAAAAGTGTCCCCCTTGCAAACAAAATCGACGTGTTTCGGCGTTTTTTTAATTTCCTGATAATTTTCGAGAAAATCCGGGTGGATCCTTTTTGATTTTCCACCTTGTATAGGTAAACTTAATAGGGGGTAGGGGCCCCAAAAAATATGTAGCGTAGGGCCCCATAAATCGTAAATCCGCCACTGTTGAAAACAGAAATAGTTGTAGGTACATTACCTTGGCTTTTATTTTCTCACAGTTTCGATTCATTTCCCAAAGAGAGTTCCTTCTGATCAGATTGCAGTGACCTTGAATATATTTAATTTTTTTCACAAAAAACTTCAATTTACAGTGGAACAAGAAATAGATCGTTGTTTACCTTTTCTTGACACAAAAGTCATCCGTACAGAAGATAACAAAATTATTTTAGACTGGTTTCAAAAAAGTACTGCATCCGGTAGATTCATTAATTATTTCTCAAACCACCCAAAAAACCAAAAGTATAATACTGTTATCGCAATGAAAAATAGGTTAACACATATCAGTGATGAGAGATTTTTACAAGACAATTTAAAAACTCTTTTCAAAATTTTTATCAACAATGGTTATCCAAAACATATCTTGACAAAATTAATTTACAATTCCAACATTTTTGACGGCCCAACGGAACCTGAAAATATACAGATAACATACAAAAAACTACCTTACATTAAGGATTTCTCACACCAAATTATAACACTCTTTAAAGACTTTCCTAACATAAAAATTGCAAAATACAATGACTTGACAATCAGAAACTTATACTCTAAAATAAAAGATAAAACTCCTTTACTTTACAACAATAATGTAATTTACAAAATTCCATGCATGGAATGTCAAGGTTGTTACGTTGGCCAAACAGCACAATGGCTCAAACAACGTTTAACACAACACCGGAGCGATTGTAGAGTGGGAAAGAACTCTTGTGCTGTTGTTGAGCATTTCCAAAAAACAGGACATCAGTTTAATTTCAACGAGGTAAAAATTTTGAGAAAAGAAAATAACTATAAAAGTCGCCTTTTTTTGGAAATGTGTTATATTCAAAAAACAGAACATTCATTAAATAATAAATCTGATACTAACCAATTAAGTAACATCTATTGTAATATTTTAAACCTAACTCAATAATTTACTATTGTAAAAATTATATGGAACGTTCATATTCTTAGATCATACCACAATAACCAGTTGAAATTTTAATTTTTCGGTAGACTTTGACTGACAATTTCGTTGCAAAAAAAAAAAAAAAAAAAATTTCTCTAAAAAAAGACATCAAAATCTATTAAAAATAGGAAAATACAAAAATCTCGACTAGCTCTGTGTTGTAAGTAATATTTAATTTATTTATTATTTTTGTTCCTTATTTTATTATTGTACAATTCATTTTAAACTGCCATTTCTGTTATTTATACCAAAATATTTTTATTCATTATTTTTCTTGTAGTTTCTCCTGATGAAGTCTAAAATATAAGACGAAATATTGAGTATAAAAACAAATGAGTTTCACTAGTCCAGACCGCTACCCGATATCCTCTCCAAATTATTTAATTAGTACGGTCGATAACTGATTTTCATTTTATTATATATATATATATATATATATATATATATATATATATATATATATATATATATATATAGATTTATTAACCGACCTTATCAAGCCCGAAGCGGTATTTCGCACATCTACTGAGAAGCCCGACCCCTACTTTTCGAAGCCTTCCTAAATTTTCCCATGTATCTTAAAAAAAATTAATACTAGCGGCATCTTTTGGAAGCCCCAGTATTTTTTATCTGTATATATAAAGGGCGGGCTTTCACGTGGAAAATTTTGTGAGGCCCTCCTGTCAATAGGTAGGGCAGTATGTATCATTCAAAAAAAATCGGGTGGGCTTCGTATTACCGTTTTTTATATCAAAATATACACGTTTAATTCATACAATTTGCTACCAGAGGGCGAACTAGTCGAAGTGTATAAACAGTTTGGGCATACAGAAGTGCAGATACCGCATACATTTTGGGAATCCCACACATTTGGCAACCCTGCGGCCGCCTTATTCCTTTAAAGTTTATTGTATTTTATGAATTTGGTGATTTAAGGAAGAATTTCCAGATAATCTCAACTATCAAAATGGATAATTCAAAATTTGAATTGAGTGAGCTACGAAAGCGTAGAGGTGCCATGCTAACATTGTGTACAAAAATCTGTACCTGTCACAACTTTACAGTTGACACCTTGACACCTGTCATTTTTGGTCTAAGATGTATTATCACCCGAACTTAAAGTGTATGCAAAATTTCAGCAAATCCGTTGCGAAAAAATTGTTCAAAAATCTGCACCTGTCTTATTTGACAGTTCACACCTATCATTATTGGTCTAAAATGTATTATCACCCGAACCTAAAGTGTATGCTAAACTTCAGCAAAATCCGTTGCGAAGAAAGGGTTCAAAAATCTGTACCTGTCACAATTTGACAGTTGACATTTGTCATTAGTATTCTAAAAAGTTTTACCACCCGAACTTGAAGTGTATGCAAATTTTCAGAAAAATCCGTTGCGAGGAAATGGTTCAAACATCTGAACCTGTCACATTTGACAGTTGACATCTGTTATTAGTGGACTAAAATGTATTATCACCCGAACTTAAAGTGTATACAAAATTTCAGCAAAATCCGTTGCGAAAAAATGGTTCGAAAATCTGCACCTGTCATATTTGACAGTTCACACCTATCATTATTGGTCTAAAATGTATTATCACCCGAACCTAAAGTGTATGCTAAATTTCAGCAAAATCCGTTGCGAAGAAAGGGTTCAAAAATCTGTACCTGTCACAATTTGACAGTTGACATTTGTCATTGGTATTCTAAAGAGTTTTACCACCCAAACCTTGAAGTGTATGCAAATTTTCAGCCAAATCCTTTGCGAGGAAATGGTTCAAACATCTGAACCTGTCACATTTGACAGTTGACATCTGTCATAAGTGGACTAAAATGTATTATCACCCGAACTTAAAGTGTATGCAAAATTTCAGCAAAATCCGTTGCGCAAAAATGGATCGAAAATCTGCACCTGTCATATTTGACAGTTCACACCTATCATTATTAGTCTAAAATGTATTATCACCCGAACCTAAAGTGTATGCAAAATTTCAGCAAAATCCGTTGCGAAGAAATAGTTCAAAAATCTGCACCTGTCATAATTTGACAGTTGACATTTATCATTAGTATTCTAAAATGTATTACTACCCGAACTTAAAGTGTATGCAAAATTTCAGCAAAAGCCGTTGCGAAAAAATTGTTCAAAAATCTGCACCTGTCATATTTGATAGTTCATACCTATCATTATTGGTCTAAAATGTATTATCACCCGAATTTAAAGTGTATGCTAAACTTCAGCAAAATCCGTTGCGAAGAAAGGGTTCAAAAATCTGTACCTGTCACAATTTGACAGTTGACATTTGTCATTAGTATTCTAAAAAGTTTTACCACCCGAACTTGAAGTGTATGCAAATTTTCAGCAAAATCCGTTGCGAGGAAATGGTTCAAACATCTGAACCTGTCACATTTGACAGTTGACATCTGTCATTAGTGGACTAAAATGTATTATCACCCGAACTTAAAGTGTATGCAAAATTTCAGCAAAATCCGTTGCGAAAAAATGGTTCGAAAATCTGCACCTGTCATATTTGACAGTTCACACCTATCATTATTGGTCTAAAATGTATTATCACCCGAACCTAAAGTGTATGCAAAATTTCAGCAAAATCCGTTGCGAAAAAATTGTTCAAAAATCTGCACCTGTCACAATTTGACAGTTGAAATTTATCATTAGTATTCTAAAATGTATTACCACCCGAACTTGAAGTGTATGCAAAATTTCAGCAAAATCCGTTGCGAGGAAAAGTTCGTTGCGAAGAAATGGTTGAAAAATCTGCACCTGTCACATTTGACAGTTGACATCTGTCATTAGTGGACTAAAATGTATTATCACCCGAACTTAGAGTGTATGCAAAATTTTAGCAAAATTCGTTGCGAAAAAGTGGTTAAAAAATCTGCACTTGTCACATTTGACAGTTGACACGTTGACACCTGTCATTTTTGGTCTAAGATGTATTATTACCCGAACTTAAAGTGTATGCAAAATTTTAGCAAAATTCGTTGCAAAGAAGTGGTTAAAAAA